GGGGGGGGGGGAGGAGGAGAGGGAAGAGAAAGATAAGTAGATAGAGTGAGAAACCGTGCGCGGGTGGAGAGGGAATCGCACGTTTGCGAAACGTGTGTTCGTACGGAGAGCTCCGAAAATAAGTACGTAGAGCGCATTGGGCAATCGAGGCTCACTTTAAATTACAAATGAAGCGGCCGGTTCGGCCGGGCGTACGCGAGGATAAAAACAGGTGAGAATCGAGCCTCCGCGCGAGTATAGGGTGGGTGGATTGTCAGGTACGCGCGCGTACACCCGCGCTCCCTCGCGTGTGCGTGCGCGTACGAACGTGTGCGTACCGCGTGCTGCACGTATGTACGCGGCGTTTTAGATCTCAATCCCGATCCCGATTCCCCCTGATCCCGATCGGCAGCTGGACTTTAAGAACCGACCAACGGACGTGCGTACGGACGGACGGACGGACGGACGGACGGACGGACGGACGGACGGATGGACGGGTACTTGCTGCGTACGAGTTGCTGCACGTGCACTTGCAACTCCGACGGCCAGTTGTGCCGGCGCTCTGTGAATCGAGCCGATCGACTACCCCGATAGGACCGCACGCCTTTGCGTAGGAAGACATTTGTCTTCTGGGCCTGCGTGCATGTATGTGTGGATGTGTGATCCTGCCTACTTTGGATCGTCCGCCTTCTTCTGCGCGATCGCCGCCGCCGGTGGAGTGCGGGGGAGTGCGCGAAAACGCGTCGACGAAGGTGGTCGTCAGGTGGTGGAAACGCCGCCGGAATATTTCTTACCCTGCGTGTCGCCGCGCGTCACGAATTTCCTGACTCGCGGCGGGAGCGCGGAAGTGCGCTTTTCATTACTTCCCGCGAGATCCCGCGAGATGTCTGCGATTTTTCTCTCGAAACGAGACTCGAGGAGATTTATTCATGGGCCGATCGAATTCGCGAAGAACATTTTACCGGTCTGAGGAGAATAAAAGGATGACGGATGTTCATGTCGTTCGTGCCGCACCGATGACTTTATCGTAGAAGAAAGGGAATCGAGCAGTGTTACTGATTGAATGTCTTTTTTTTTCCAGTCTGCCTGTCGCGCGAAAGGGAGAAGGACTTCCTACCGCGGAGATTCGTTCCGTTACTCGTGTGTGTCTCGCTTCAACCCCCGATCGTAAGAACTACCCCGTGGCGAGGTGACGCCTAGCGGCGAAATAAGGAACGACGGAACGAACGAGTGGAGAAAAGGGTGAGTCGTTTTAAGGTTTTTGTCCGTGCTAACCTCGGGCGGAATATCGATCACGCTCTGATAGATATACACCCGCGCTCGTGAAATAAGATGTAAGACCCACACATTGAGAAACAGAGAGAGAGAGAGAGAGAGAGAGAAAAAATGTTACTTATCAAGCATTCTAGAACACATCAAACACATCAGAAAGTGTCGAATTTGATATGAAAATACAATTTAGATAAAAAAGATTTCAAGTATACGGTATTTTTTTTCATAATATAAGGATTATGTAAATATTATATAATAATATGAGCCTCTCTCTTAATGATCCATATGTGTGTGTCGAGAAATATAGATATAATGAAAGAAAGAAGTAGACTTAGGGCCGGTTTTTCAATAGCAGTTTAAACTTGGATTCAAGTTTAAACTGCTATTGACTCTATTCTAACAATGTGTTTGTTTTGTTTAGAGTTTAAGTTGAAATCTAAGTTTAAACTATCATTGAAAAAACTGACCCTTAGTATGTCAATAACGAAGATTTGAATCAGTAGTGTGGAAACTAAAAACTTCAGAGTGCACAGAGTTGCACATTGAAAAGGCATTCACATGGACGCGTATGGAACGTAGGAGAAACTTGAATAAATTTTGAACATTTTCGGATTGTTGCGAATTCTTGAGGAAATTAACGAGATTACTTGTTTGAGATAAATAAAGAAACACTCTTAGACGCCGACGAGACCGATATAATTTCGGTGAGTTTGGGAGAATTTTCGGGAGAATTCACATCTTGGAAGAAAGGCGGAAACCAATCGGAACTCGTGCTGCTGGTCAGATGGTAAATCGACAGTTTCTGATTTTCTATCAGCGCGAGTTCCGATTGGCTTCTGTCTTTCCGTTTTTCTGCCAAGGCGAATTCTTCTTTGAGGACGCGAAAGCACTACTAAACTAACGTGCAATTCGCGACGATCCACACGCGATTATCAGCCTTTCCCGAATTCAGAGAATGCCGGGACACTGGAACTCACCGAAATGCGTTACGTCGGTCTCGATCGCCCACCACCTCACGCGCGTTATCACATTATCGCGGCGAAGAACGTCGCAGTAACGCGAGACTCACTACTTTATTCGCCGGGAAATGAGATTAAGATCGTCGCGACGGTCGCGATTCGGCGAATCGGCGAATCGTAGGAACGTGCAGCACGCGAGCCATCGAAACTGACGGCCCGGATTAAGAATTCTAACGGTAGGAGTAGCCGCTCGGGCAGTAGGATGAAATGAGCGACGCGTCCGGCGCATTACGCAATGAAAGAAACAAATGAAGCTTAATAGAAAAACTGCCCGCGCTAGAAAAACCCATTCCATCGTGCACTTAGTACAGCTGCGTCAGAAAGTGCACCGGCCGTTCTTTCTCCCTTTCGTCGCCGTTGTCGTCAACGACGACATCGTCACTGTTGTCGTCGTTGTCGTCGCGAGATGAGCAAGCGATGCGCGTTTCTTATCGACGAGCGCGAAATTCCAATTGGTGGCGCGACGAAATTTCGTACTGTAGCGAGTGCAATTTTTTTATTAAATTTCATTTATGTATTATTCAATGAAAACATGTGCAGTATTTGATTTTTGGACAAAATGAGATATCGCTTGTTTGCGGCGAAAAATCGCGAGTAACGTTTCCCCTAATTCGCGGGACCGGAATTGTCGCGCGCCAAGTTAGCGGCCGCGGTGAGATACCTCATGAATTTTTCGAGTGCATTTGGCAGAGGAGCTAATTAACAGTAATCAAGCGAATGTGTAGAATCGGCTCGCCGCTGACCGTGTACTTTGTTCCGGTTCTAAATTTGGTTTGCATTAAATATGAGAACGCTCTCTCGTCGGCACGCATGGGCGTGTACGCGGGGCCTCTGTATCGCCGCATTAAATACAACCAAACGCGGCAAACGCGCGTAATGAATCAAATTATTTCGGACCGCGCGCGCCGGATAGGGGAGGAGATAATTTACGCGCGCGCGGCAGCTCGCTCGCCCGCTCGCGAAAAGCAGGAAAGCGCGCGTGCGAAAAAACTGAATGAATTGCAGATTCGCGTCAGAGCGGACACGCGGATATGCCGCGGCGCGGGTATGCCGGCTGTTTAGGCGAGGAGAGCGACGATAATCGATACCGATTCCGGACAATTCGGGATGTCAAATGCGCGTCTCGCTGGAGATCAAAGGCGTGCGTGAATGCGTGCGTGCACGCGCGCGCGCACTTACGCGAACGTACGTACGCGTATTGTTGAAACTCGCGGACGCGCGTGCGAGCCGCGGCGAGACAAGCCCGCGGAACGCGTCGCATGCATTTTTCCCGACTGTACCACCACCGTCGTCTGCGGCTGTGTCAATAGGAGCCAATCTAAGTACATACGCACACACAGACGTAACGCAGCTCGCCGCACACTGCGACTCCTCGTGATGCAATCGTGTGCCTCGTGCCTCGCGCAGTTTCGACATTCTCTTTGCCCCGCGCTATGCGCAAAGTGCGGCAACGAATTCCGCGATCGGACGATCGATCGATCTCGGTGCGGACCTGAAATTTTAACCTCCGACCTCGAGCGAGATCCACCCCGGCCCCGGGGCCCTAGACTTCGCGTCGGAACGACGTGACGACGACAAAGACGACGACAATGACGACGACGACGATGATCGAGCGAGCGAGCGAGCGAGCGAGCGAGGAGCGGCTGATCCGCGCTGTGTAGCTGGCATAACGGGCGTATCTGTCGCTTTCGTGTTTTCTGAGACTTTGTGCGAGCCACGAGATAAGATAAAGCGCGCGCGGATCCAGGATCAAGGTGACGATGATAGCGCCGTGACTTCGGACGGCGTCGCGATCGCTCCGGAAAAAACTGACGCGCCTCACGGCGTTATCGGAAAAATACCGCGACGGCGGCGGCGGCGGCAGTGGCACCATTCTTAAGAACGAATGAGAAATAAGTAACGCGCTCTCTTCCGAGAGATATATCCAGGAATATCCGCGCTGCTCGCGAAAATGTACCTGCACAGTCAAGAGAGATCCGTGGGATTAAGTCAAACTTAATTTTTAAACGCGCTGACTACCACCCGTTCGCTCGTCTCCCATCACCTCCGCGTGTCTTCTCTTCTTCGACGGCAGGCTCGGGCGAAACGCGCGCGAAAATGATACATTCGGTCTTGGCGATGTTGGCGACGACGACGACGACGACGACGACGACGATGACGAGAGCCGTAGCATTGGAGACAAGCGAGAGAGCGATGAATAAAAGCGTACAAGTGAATAAAATAAAAGAGATACTCGTTGTCTCGTTCAGCTCAACGCGACAAAAAGAAACGATTGATCCCTCGACAATTCAGCGTCGCTGGATGTGTTTAAATATAACGAACGGGGCTCATGTATTTTGAAGAGAGAGACCGCCGCTCGTTGCCCGGGCAATGACGGTGGGAGAGCTAGTCATGAAAGATGGCAGGAGCCGGTCGATGATCGCGAATATTTTTGCGCACAGTCAGTACTCTCTTTCTGTCTCGCCAACAAGGGTGAAAGAGGGAGAGGGGAAAGAGCGGCGGCGCATACATAGGAAGACCGTTAATCAAAGCGGGCGCTCCGGTCCGGGATACCCGGGCGGAGGAGCGAGCGGCGAGTTTTGCCATTTTTGGGGGGGAAAATTTTCCGTGGAAATCATTGACGTCGCCCGGGTCATCGACGAGCTCTACCCGGCGGACCGAACAGCTACACATACACACACTCACGTACACGAGCGAGCGCTCGCGTGCGCACGTGTGCGTGTGTACGTGTACCAGGGTACACAACGTGGGAGGCCTGTGTCTCGTATATCGGGGTGGTAGTTCCCGCAGAGAACGGCGTGCGACGGCCTCCCATTGGCCTCCCATTGGCCGGTCCGGGGGTGGCTCGCTGCAGTCATCGATTCAGGCAGTCATTGGCTGACTCGGCCCCGGCCGCCATTTTGAATGACTCCGGGATCAATACGCGGGGTGCGGAAAAAAAAGTGCATGCAGGCCCACCGCCGCCCCCGGTTCCCTCGGCCGTATCTCACGGCCGTTCGCACGCCACCGCTCTCTCCCCTCGATCTCTCTCACTCTATCTATCTATCCGCCGGTTCATGCAACCACCGACACCGTTGCACGACCTCCTCTTTCCACCCAGAGGCACCCTAACGCCTTTCCGCCGCCGACTACCATCTACCGCCCTCCCCCGCGTTGCCGCCGTTACCGCTCTTCCTCCGTTGGCATCCCCGGCGCAACAACGCCAACCATCGACGACCCAGCCGAAAGGGAGCGATAGGGCCGTTCGTATGTATATGTGGCGGAGGAACGCGACGTATCTACGTGTGTGGGCGCGTGTGTGTATTTATACGTGTAACGAGGAACGTGCACGGACGTATATGCACATATAGAGTAGAGCGCGCGCGCGCGCGCGCGCGTTCGAAAATCATCGAAAAAATGCTCGGCGAAAGCGGGGTTGCCGGTGGTGAGTTTCGCCGTGGCGGCTCCGCTGCCGCCGCCACCGCCGCCTCCTCGTCCTCCTCCTCCACCACCATCACCACCCCCTGCTACCGTCGTCGCGTTCCACCGTCATTTTCTTCCCTCCCGGTTTTGTGTCGAGAGTGTATGCAATTTTCTCTCTCCCGTCCGCCCGCCC